GAGCAAGCTCTTGCCACATTTACAAGTATTGCTCTCCACACTGAACTTCCTGGTTCTTCACTTTCAAATTCAGAAGCAAGTTCAGACCAAGAAGAAGAAATGATGGCTGCCAATGAGTTCATGGGAGACCTTGATATCCCAACAATTCCAACATCCCCTTCAAGCATTTTACTACCCACTGTAGCTCGAAACTATGAGCTTAAATCTTCTCATCTTAATATGTTACCTTCCTTTTATGGTTTACCTAATGAAGATCTATTGACTCATATAAAGGATATTTTTAATGTTGTGAGTTCTTTTCCCTTGACAGGTGTGACGGAAGATCAACTTCGAATGAGAGTGTTTCCTTACACTTTGAAGGATAAGGCGAAATATTGGTTGAATTCTTTGAAGCCTAGTTCACTCACTACATGGGCTGCCATTCAAAAGAAATGTTTAGAGAAATACTTCTCCATCCAAAAGACTGACATGCTCAGGGACAAGATCTTGTTATTTGCACAGCAAGATGATGAGTCGTTTTGTGAAGCGTGGGAGAGATTCAATGGGCTGCTTAATCAATGTCCTCATCATGGGATTCCTTTGAAACTTCAAATGCGTATGTTTTATAAAGGACTAACCCCTTCGAGTCATAATATTATCACAAATTTTGCAGGTGGTTCTTATAAAACCAAGACTTCGGAAGAAACATATGAACTCTTTGAGGGGATAGCAATGGAGACCCAACATACATACACGAGGTAAAAACGTGTTGTTAGTGGTTCTAATGATGCTTCTAGTGTGCAGATTTCAAAATTAGAACAAAAGCTAGATGCTCTTCTTGCATTGAACTCAAGAAACCCTCCGAAGGAAGTGTGTAGCATCTGTGAAACTCAGGACCATGCCACCATAGCTTGTCCACTTGGGGCTACATATCCAGAATTTGTGCAAGAGCAAGCTAATGTGGTAAATTCCTACAACCAAGGTCCAAGAAATGATCCATACTCTCAAAGTTATAATCCAGGTTAGAGGAATCATCCAAACTTTTCATGGAGGAATACTCAGAATCAAGCCAATCCCCCTTCATTCCAAAAGCCACAATAATCATCATCATCATTGGAGGATATAGTAAAGCAAATGGCAATCAATCAATCCAATTTTCAGCAAACTACACAAGCCACTGCAGACACAGTTATCAAAGTGAAAGATAGCACCCTTTCCATGACTGTTCTGGGTGAAACTGTTGAATTTAAAGTGTTTGATGCTCTATCTCAACCTTCTATCTCTCTTGATACTTGCTTTTCAATTGATGTTGTGGATCATGAGGTTTCCTAGCTCAGATCAGGTAAGATTGTTGATAATATAGTTGATTCTAATCTTTCAAATGATGCTGTGGTTGTAGAAAATGAAGATGAAGAGGAGGAGACCATAGCTATGGAAGGAGAACAGCTCAAAACTTCTCAATTTGCCCCTAATGCCAAATCAGATTCTCAGGAACCCAACAAATTCCAATTGCATAAAAGAGGTGATAAATTTGTGCCACCACATCTTCAAGAAGATAGATACGTGCCACCCGCTCCATATGTTCCACCTATTCCATTTCCAGGCCGTCTTCAGAAAGCAAAGCAAGATAAGGCTTTTAAAGAGATTTATGATATTTTGAGTAAAGTTAATATCAATTTGCCTTTGCTTGATGTTATTGAACAGATTCCTGCATATGGAAAGTTCATCAAGAACTTGAAAACTCACAAGCTCAATTTTGCTCCAAATGAAGAAGTAAAGCTCAACAAGAATGTAAGTGCTGTGTTGCAAAGGAAGCTTCCACCAAAACTAGATGATCCTGGCAGCTTTGACATTCCCATTAACATTGGAGGCAAGAAGGTTGGAAGAGCCATGTTGGACTTGGGAGCAAGCATCAATGTTTTGCCATATTCAGTTTATCAAGAGCTTGGCTTAGAAGGGATGAAGAAAACTTCAATGCGACTTGAACTAGCTGATCATTCTATAAAATATCCAAAAGGTATTGTGGAAGATATTTTAGTTCAATTTAATACACTAATTCTCCCTGCTGATTTTGTAGTAATGGACATGGAGGACAATCCAAATGGAGATCGTGTTGATCCCATTCTCTTAGGCAGGCCATTCATGGCCACTACAGACACAATCATTAAAGTGAAAGATGACACCCTTTCCATGACTGTTTTGGGTGAAACTGTTGAATTTAAAGTGTTTGATGCTCTATCTCAACCTTCTATCTCTCTTGATACTTGCTTTTCAATTGATGTTGTGAATCATGAGGTTTCCTCTAAAATTTTGCAGAAAAAGTCTAATGATGCTCTAGAAGCTGTCCTAACACAAGAAGAGGAAGATCTTAGTGAGCCGGAGTTCCAAGAAGTGTTGGCTACCTTAGGAGTGTTTCAGCCATACCCACCATCCTTTAGGCCACCACTCGAGCCTCCATTATCATCCTACCAAAGCTAGAACTTAAACCTCTGCCCAATTATCTTATATTAGTCCAAGCATGTGCATGCACCGGATTTTAATGGAAGAAGACAGCAAACCATCTCGTGATGCCCAAAGGAGGCTAAATCCCAACATGAAAGAGGTGGTTGGAGCTGAAGTTTTAAAGCTACTCGATGTAGGAATCATCTACCCAATTTCAGATTCTAAGTGGGTGAGCCCTGTGCAAGTTGTTCCAAAGAAGTCCGGAATGACCGTTGTGAAGAATGAGAAGAATGAGCTAGTTCCTACACGAACTGTCACTGGTTGGAGAGTTTGCATTGATTACAGGCAGTTGAACACATCCACTAGAAAAGATCATTTCCCCTTGCCTTTTATTGATCAAATGCTTGAACGTTTATCTGGTCATGCTTACTATTGTTTTCTTGATGGTTTTTCAGGTTATAATCAAATTCTCATTGCTCCGGAACACCAAGAGAAAACCACATTCACGTGCCCATTTGGTACGTTTGCTTATAGAAGGATGTCATTCGGTTTGTGCAATGCCCCAGCAACTTTCCAAAGATGCATGATGTCTATCTTTTCAGATATGGTGGAACGATTCATTGCGGTATTTATGGATGATTTTTCAGTTTTTGGTTCCTCTTTTGATAATTGTCTTCACCACTTGTCTCTAGTGCTTAAAAGATGCCAGGAAACAAATTTGATTTTGAATTGGGAGAAGTGTCACTTCATGGTGAGACAAGGCATTGTGCTAGGTCATGTGATTTCAAGCAAGGGAATTGAAGTGGATAAAGCCAAGATCGATCTCATCTCAAATCTGCCACCCCCTACCTCTGTGAAAGGAGTTAGAAGCTTTCTGGGTCATGCTGGATTTTATAGAAGGTTCATCAAAAATTTCTCAAGCATTACAAGGCCATTGTGTAATCTCCTTGCTAAGGATGCTGTTTTTGAGTTTAATGAAGCTTGCATGGAAGCTTTTACTACCTTGAAAAGGGAGTTAACTTCAGCCCCTAGCTGCCTTAGAAGTGTTTCAACCATACCCACCATCCTTTAGGCCACCACTCGAGCCTCTTGGACCATCATCCATGAAATTGGAGCCATCCATTGTCATCCCACCAATGCTAGAACTTAAACCTCTTCCCAATCATCTTAAATATACATATTTGGGTGCTAACGAACCTCTCCCTGTTATAATTGCTGCAGGTCTCTCCTCACGTGAAGAAGAGAGCTTAATTAAAGTTCTAAAAGAGCATAAAATAGCCATTGGGTGGACCATAGCAGACATCAAAGGAATTAGTGCAAGCATGTGCATGCACCGGATTTTAATGGAAGAAGACAGCAACCCATCTCGTGATGCCCAAAGGAGGCTAAATCCCAACATGAAAGAGGTGGTTGGAGCTGAAGTTTTAAAGCTACTCGATGTAGGAATCATCTACCCAATTTCAGATTCTAAGTGGGTGAGCCCTGTACAAGTTGTTCCGAAGAAGTCCGGAATCACCGTTGTGAAGAATGAGAAGAATGAGCTAGTTTCTACACGAACTGTCACTGGTTGGAGAGTTTGCATTGATTACAGGAAGTTGAACACATCCACTAGAAAAGATCATTTCCCCTTGCCTTTTATTGATCAAATGCTTGAACGTTTATCTGGCCATGCTTACTATTGTTTTCTTGATGGTTTTTCAGGTTATAATCAAATTCCCATTGCTCCGGAAGACCAAGAGAAAACCACATTCACATGCCCATTTGGTACGTTTGCTTATAGAAGGATGCCATTCGGTTTGTGCAATGCCCCAGCAACTTTCCAAAGATGCATGATGTCAATCTTTTCAGATATGGTGGAACGATTCATTGAGGTATTTATGGATGATTTTTCAGTTTTTGGTTCCTCTTTTGATAATTGTCTTCACCACTTGTCTCTAGTGCTTAAAAGGTGCCAGGAAACAAATCTGATTTTGAATTGGGAGAAGTGTTACTTCATGGTGAGACAAGGCATTGTGCTAGGCCATGTGATTTCAAGCAAGGGAATTGAAGTGGATAAAGCCAAGATCGATCTCATCTCAAATTTGCCACCCCCTACCTCTGTTAAAGGAGTTAGAAGCTTTCTGGGTCATGCTGGATTCTAGAGAAGGTTCATCAAAAATTTCTCAAGCATTACAAGGCCATTGTGTAACCTCCTTGCTAAGGATGCTGTTTTTGAGTTTAATGAAGCTTGCATGGAAGCCTTTACTACCTTGAAGAGGGAGCTAACTTCAGCCCCTATTATCATAGCTCCAGATTGGTCTTTACCATTTGAAATAATGTGTGATGCCTCTGACTTTGCTATTGGTGCAGTTTTAGGTCAAAAGAAGAACATGCTGCCCCATGTGATTCATTATGCTAGCCGGACTTTGAATGATGCTCAAATCAACTACTCCACAACAGAGAAGGAGTTCCTTGTTGTGGTTTTTGCTTTAGAAAAATTTCGTTCTTACCTTGCTGGTTCTAAATTAATTGTTTATTCTGACCATGCAGCTCTTAGATACTTGCTCACTAAGAAGGATGCCAAACCACGCTTGATTAGATGGATTCTCTTGCTGCAAGAATTCGATTTGGAGATTCGAGACAAGAAGGGATGTGAGAATGTGGAAGCTGATCATTTGAGCATAATTGTGGTTGAAGAACAAGGAGAAGCTGTGCTACCCTTGAATGAGACTTTCCCTGATGAACAACTATATGTTGCCTAAGTCAAAGAGCCATGGTATGCTGATTTTGTTAATTATCTTGCTTGTGGTGTTCTTAGAAATGATCTAACTTCTCAGGACAAGAAGAAGTTCTTTTCCATGGTGAAGCATTATGTCTGGGATGAACCTTTCTTATTCAAGCATTTCCCGGATCAACTCATCAGAAGATGTGTTCCAGAAGAAGAGCAAGGAAGCATACTTAGGCATAGCCACGAATTGGCTTGTGGAGGTCACTTTGGAGCTAAGAAAACAGCACTTAAGATTCTGCAATCTGGTTTCTTTTGGCCCACTCTATTCAAAGATGCGTTTAATTTTTGTGTTAAGTGTGATAGGTGCCAAAGGATGGGGAACATAAGTCGCAGGAATGAAATGCCATTGAATAACATACTTGTTGTGGAGCTCTTCGATGTGTGGGGTATTGATTTCATGGGACCATTCCCATCTTCCTTTGGTTATACTTACATACTTGTTGCTGTTGATTATGTGTCTAAATGGGTGGAAGCCATAGCCACCAAAACCAATGATCATAAGGTGGTGCTCAAGTTCTTGAAGGGTAATATTTTCACAAGGTTTGGTACTCCAAGGGCTGTCATTAGTGATGGAGGCAGCTACTTCTGTAACAAGCCATTCGAAGCACTCATGAAGAAGTACAACATCACCCATCGAGTCTCTACACCATATCATCCGCAAACTTCTGGTCAAGTGGAAATAAGCAATAGAGAAATTAAACACATCCTAGAGAAGGTTGTGAACAGTACAAGGAAGGATTGGGCTGCCAAGCTCAATGATGCATTATGGGCTTACAGGACTGCATAT